TATAGACACACAGCTGAATTGGCAGTATCGATATATGGCAGTAAGGACATTTGTCATTTTGGGTAATATGACAGTATGAACACAGGACATTATGGGCACATGCCAGTGTGTGCTCATCAAAACATAGGCACATTTTATTATTGGAACCTGTCATTATAGAAACATGCCATAATCTGCATATCAGTGTATGCCACTTTACATTTAACATGATATAAGAGTTATGTGTCATGATGGGCACACGCGGGTTTTACTATGAGCGATGGTTTCAGGCACGTTGTCACGTGAAGATGCTATCAGTATTGTGGGCCACTAGCTCTTTTAGTGTTCAGGGAGTTCTATTTGTAAACTATCGCCTGACAACGTCTATTATATGTGTATAAGGTTCAACCTAGTCGTCTCTGATTTTTTGCCTGTGTATCCACAGAAATGTCAGTGTGGTTCCGGCTATATAACGTGTGATTCTCTGCCACAACTCCCAACATTGAACACGGGTGCCAATGTGAGTCATCCAGCGATCCTCATATTTAATGTAAGTTTATTTTTATCGTCCTCAGATAATCAGACCTACTTCATTTTACTTTGATCATCATAATTAGCAGCTCCTTTACACAACGACGCTCTCGTCATGGCACGCATGAAAGTCTGTCTGTCTGAAGCTAATTCCCCAGCTCTCTGTGCTTACATAGGCAAAGAATAGTCATTGTATTGTATCCACATTCAAGAAGGTCGGCCTCTTGTTTCATTTTCAGTAAACTGCAGCCTACAACACCGATCTCTCCAGGCCACAGCGACGTTTCACATGGGCAAAATACCGGCTCTCAACACTTAGTGGAGGGGTAGGACGGACTTACAATCACACTGTTAATGATGTCATCAGAACTGGAACACTGTGCTTGCTGCTAAGATTGGAACGGAGCTGCTATGAGAATGTCCCGAGTGCTGTGATGTCCATTCTTTATTCATACCTCATAATTCTCTTTTCAATGGCGATTCTTGTTTTGATTTCTGCAAGGTATCTTGTGTCAAATATAATGAATTTTCCAGGATGGCTGAATGGATACTCTTTGTCAATAGTCTTACCATTTACCCGTATTTCTCTAAGTATTGTGTCTTCCTTCCTCGGGATGACCCGTTTCAAACTTTAGTGGGTGGCGGGGGGATTTCAGTCACAGGAGTGAGGACAAATTATGGTCGTTGTGATGTATGTAATGTGTTACTCAGTACCTAACCTCGGGCACCACAGACTGTGTGTTGGTTTTATGGATCCTTGTCACGAGTCCTGCCACACGTCCTCGTCGTGCGCTAGAGATAGTGACGCACCTTTGTGACGTTAATCGAATCGGCAGGGAATCTTAGAATTGGTGGCTCCAGTTAAAGCTGCTACCTCCATCGTTAATCAAGATATAAGTATTGAACTGAAAGCCCTACATTCCTTCTTTGTCTTTCCATTGACCTGCTCTGTGTATGTCAAACCAGACCGCTCCCCAGGAATCACTGACCGACTGTATAGATGGTGACGTCACATGGTAGAGTATGCTTGTGAACTAGGTTCATGAATTTAACTTCAGGAGCTGCTTGCTTGGCTCCATTTCTGCAATACCTGCCCAAAGGTGATTATTACCTCAGTGTGCTAATGCAAATGTTCAGGTGTTTCTATCTATTACTGTAGAGATTCAACTGTTTCGATGGGCTAATTAGGCAAATGGTATCCTCTGCTACCGCCGACTAGGACCGCCCCCTTTTTGGGCGCTTACCATTGTTCATTCGTGGGCAGTTATGTAGAGGCTGTTTTAGGTCAACTGCTACACAAAGTTACGCCTTCGTCTGGGCCACCTTGTGTCTAGTAATCTGGTAATCTGGTAATCCAAGTTTCAGCTTCATAGCAAACGGGTTACCCCACAGGGTTCCTTGCTGCACGAAATTACCGGATAGTGTTTTTCTTTCGGATAGAGACAAGACGACTTGGTGGTTTGCAGAAGGTACTGTGAGATAAGAAGTCACCGCGGCAGCCTAATTAAAGCAGTCAGCGTGCCTGGACGACCGAGCGACAAGCTTACGATTGGTTTACCGGACTCATGTTGGACTTTTGTTAGCAGGTGGCAGAGGAACACTGGCAGACAATTCGGACACGATGGACTTACAAGGGGTGAGAAACCCTTTTCCGCTAGACACCCGGACAAGCTCACCGAGGCCCGTCCCCTACGTTGTTGCGTTGCGTCCAAAGCCAGCTCGAGGCCCTTTCGGCTACCTCGCCCAGTTTTTTAAGTGTTCGTTTCCGTTCATTACTGCGCAATCCTAGTTCTTTAACCACACTGTAGAGCGAAGTGGAAACGAGGCCTCTCCCTCCCACTTCGACGGCAAAGACCCGTACAATATAGACTTTCAGTGATTTCACCATGTTCTAAGTGGAGCCCCGAGGTTCCTGTGCTCTTAATTCCTGTAGGTCAGTGGCCAGCTTTCGAAAAGGGGAAAATAAGGGGTTCGAGAGGCAGTGGACTGAATAAAATTCCAGATTAAGAAACGAATACGGAATGCACATAGTAAAACTAAAAAAAAAAAAAATTACAATTAAAACGGACATTTGCCATGAGGTTTTTCGTGACTGCTCTATCAGATCACGCTTGACAATTCTGCTGCCACCAGCTCCAAAATTAATTTACAGTGTGAGCGAGACGGATACATTAGATACTCGAGACTATACATTTCTGTGAAGCTGAATTATTTAATGATACGACTACCAAAGACAAAATACAGAAGCTGCTAACTTAGAGAACCAGACATTAGCATGCAATTTTCGTTAATGACATCATTTGTCAACCATGAAGCAATTTACTAAATTACAAATGTTCTGCATCACGAAGGGTTTTTATCTTACAAGGAAATAGCATTAATTTGTCAATGATAAAGCACTGTATTAAAACCCACGGACACACCTGCTACAGTTCTCAAATGGTACATGTGTACAGAATGTGTACAGTACGAACTTTTGTTTTCCAACTTTGCACGTTTTAAAGTGAAAATGATTACACTGAATTTAATCGGAAGAAAATCGTGTCTAGCCACAAGTTCCTACAGAGTATATAGAGACCAAGGTTTTGGTAACCTTTACGTAAAATCTTTAACTTCAGGACATCAAGGTGAGTTCTGGTTTGTTCACTACACTTACCGTTTAATAGCTCGTACCTCACAGTGACATCTTGACACAAAAACATAGGGTATACATAAGTTTTGCCATTTCTGATCTAAACCTTTTCCGTGTATCCATTTATTACTACATCATGAGCAGAATTTTGTCTTGTTTTAATAATTCAATCATGTGCCGTCTCCACAATAACAGTTGGTTACAGTGAATATCTAAGAGTTTCTTCTCTCGCCCTGTTTTACATTCTGTAAGACTGCTGTTCGTTATCCCCTATGGTTAACTCCCACTTGTATCTGTGCCTACTAATTTATCTGTTGCCTTTACGTGTTGCCTCTAGTTTTATAAGAGTTTGTCTTTAATATAGCTGCAATATATTAATTAATTTTCTATCAACAAATCCTCTAAAGGCACCGAACTAAACTTACATTTTTTTAAAAACACATGCCCGATGAAAATGTTGACGATATTATGACAGAAATTGAAGAAGAGTGAAGAAATACGAGAAATGTTTGCGCAACCACATGTAACGACAGTTATAAGACAGGGACGATGGCTCTATGTTAGACATATCATCGGGAAGAAAAAAATAACTAGCTTAGGCTCACCAAAAAGGCATTAGGTCGTCCACAAGAAAGCCTAAAATAGTCTTTTATAACCGTTTCATAAGACAGGCCAAAGGTGCTTCTTGACTGGATTGCATCCATAGTATCACTGGACAGAACGAAATAGGGAAATGGACTTGCAGCTCTACATAATATGAACATGTAACATGTCTAGGGGAAAAGAATGTCTTATCCCTTAAAGTACATCGTCTCCGAATAGTCTGCCAGTGTCCCTCTGACACTTGCCAATAAAGTCCAACATGTGTTCGGAAAACCAAACGTAAGCTTGCCAATTGGTCGTCCAGGTAAGCTGACTGCTCTAATTATGCTACTACGACGACTAGGTATCTCACAGAACCTTTTGCAAAGTCACCAATACGTCTTGTCCCTGTCCGATAACATCCGGTAATACCTGCAGCAAAAGAAAATCAACCCTGAGCCTCATGAACCCAGGTGAGCACACTCTAAAATGTCTAGGAGATCGTGGGCCAAAACATTTGTCGACGAGAGATTACTTCTACTGATGATTGGTAGACTCCTGCAGTACATGGTCCCCTATGGAGTTTCTTCTTACTTAGCGCGTAAAATATTACTCAGCAGTCGCCGTGGCGGATCGGCTAGACGCTCGCCGCGGATTGGAAGGTCATGGGTTCGCTCCTTGACGGTGCCGGACTTTTTTTTTTTTTTTAAATGACACAAGCTCTCAGGTCGACCCAGGGGTACCGGGAGCAGTATCGGGAAGTAAAGGTGGCCGGTGTAATGATGACCACATCACCCATCTTGTGCCGATTGGTCTTTAGAAATATAGATCCAGCACCACGTGCCCTATACGCCTTAAGGCATTGAAAAGGGTCCTTTACTTTCATTTTTTTTTTAAATATTACTCAAGATAAAATCAAAGAAAATTATACCAGATTAAGACAGACAAGACCAGTGCAACTGTTAGAAAACTGTCCAGAGACCTAATTTTTGTGTGCCTGTTCACCGGGTTAAAGTCCGGGGAACTAAACCATAACAATTAGACTACAACAAACAAGTTTATATAGCTAGATTAAAGAAAGGACTAAACGAATAATAATAAAGGCGACGAATAATGGAACAGAAATTATATGTTAAATGTGTATAGCAATAAAGATCAGCATTCACAATTTATAGAAAGTTGGAATATGGTAGGCTAAATGAGGAGAAAATGTTAACTATTAAACTTCAATGAAAAATTATTTCCACAAGCTATCAGATAAACGTGCAGCTACGAGATGATGGAATCTATAGACCACTTTCATACAGCGTTATTTATTGGGGTCATGTGTGTCGTGCAGACGATGGGTGAGATTTGTCCCTACAGTGACCCGGTGAGTCAAATAACTTTATTATTGTTGTAGACATCGTGACAACATCATGGTGTAACTTCATGATTTATTGTCTTAAAATAGAGACAATCATCATCCTTCTTCACATCATTCTTCTACTCCTTTATCTTTTCAGCTTTTTCCATTTTATGCACCTCTATTTCCTTCGTCGTTATCTCCTTTTTTTTCTTCGCCTTTTCTTAAACCTACTCTTTATCTTGTTATTCTTTTTTTCCCTTCTTCTTCTTCATCTACTTATTCTCCTTCTTCGTATATCTCTTCTCCTTCTACGTTCCAAGACTGGAGTTCTTTGAACATCAGAGGGATTTAGAGAGAACCATAATGAACTGCACGGATCGAATTTACGTTTGTTTAATCCGTTAAATGACTGTATAGAATCAATTCCAGAATTGTGTTTGTGTGCATATATATATATATATATATATATATATATATATATATATATATATATATATATATATATATATATATATATATATATATATATATATATATATATATATATATATATATATAGAGAGAGAGAGAGAGAGAGAGAGAGAGAGAGAGATTTATAATGTATGTATATGTTTTTTGTTTGTTTGTTTGTTTGTTTGTTTTAGTATCCAGAAGCCATGAGTTGTTAACCCTTAGGCTCGGTATTATGGATATCGCAACTTTTCGGCCTTGATTCCATTGTAAATACCATAAATCTGGGAGAAATGTGGCTTTCCTGCCTACCCCCGGAATTAAACCCGGGCCACAAGGAGTTCGTCACCCGGTCTTCGCGCAATCCGGTTTAGCCAACTACGCTAGAGTGTCGGGCATGCATATATATCTAAACACACGTGTGTGTATGTGTGTGTGTGTGTGTGTGTGTGTGTGTGTGTGTGTATTACTATGCTTTCACAAGACAAGTTTACATTTAGTTGTTTTTGCCCATGCACAGTCAACGCTCGACTCCATAAAGAACAGTAAAAGAGGTCTGCAGTCAATTAGCTTGCAGTTGGTTTAGAGCCGGGTATTACGAAATTACGAACCGACTTTGCAATATGATGACGTAATTATAAAAACATTGCCCCTAGGACACACACGGGGAGTCCTTTAACTATTCCCGGAGTCTCAATTGTAAACTATTGTCTCTCAATATCTTTAATCTCTGTATTAGGTGATGTTGACGTGTTATGTTGACAAGATCACACACTGGATATGTATTGCTCTAGAAAATTATGGTCTAACATTGAATGTGCAACACACCTAATGGTATCGAAAAAGATTCTCTCGTCATTTCACGTTTGTCTTCCATTTCTCTACAGGGATGTTCGTGTGGTCCTTACATAACATGCTACAATCTGCAAGAAATTCCTCCAATAAATACAACAGTTGATAGCAGTCAAGTTACAAGTCTTATTTTTGAGGTAAGTGTTATCATCGACTTTCATGTTATCGATCAGATCATCAGCAAATAAAGGTTCAACTGTTAGAGGATCCTCTTCATTGCTCTGATGTGTATCTCTATTGATACGACCTTTCTCTTCCGAACGACTGGCCGCCAGCCAAGAGCATCTGTCGGATCACAGCCTACCTCGCTGTACTGTCATATTCTACTGTACTTAAGATATGTCTAACAAGACAGCATGATGTTCGTCCGTGTCTAGCTGGGCCTGAGTTGGTAACTTTTATTCGTCTTCACCGGCTGTAAACTCTGGCGGAAAGTTTTGATTGTTCATCCACTTCTGGACTTTAGCCTTGCTCTAGAATTTGAGTTTTGCGTACACACCCGTTTTACAAGTCTTACTTATTTGTATGCAGACTACTGGTTCCTCGCATGTCAGGAGATCCACTCCTACGAATGAAACATCTCTAATTAGTCAACTCCTTGTGACATGCCTGTTGGCGGGCAATGATCTATTCTGATTCTCCTAACAAAAGTGTTCCTGTACCGATAGGGAAACATTAGAAACTTAAAACATGTTTAGTTGCTGACAAACATCTGACGTGACAGCACTGGCGGTATAGAGCAATCATTGTTCTCGTGTGCCGTTATATGTGTCATAGTGCTTGCAGTCTATTTCTTCACTGCGTTCTATCCCTTCAACATCATGGATGATTCTGTCTGTCTGTCTGTCTGTCTGTCTGTCTGTCTGTCTGTCTGTCTGTCTGTCTGTCTGTCTGTCTGTCTGTCTGTCTGTCTGTCTGTCTGTCTGTCTGTCTGTCTGTCTGTCTGTCTGTCTGTCTGTCTGTCTGTCTGTCTGTCTGTCTGTCTGTCTGTCTGTCTGTCTGTCTGTCTGTCTGTCTGTCTGTCTGTCTGTCTGTCTGTCTGTATGCATGTATGAATTGGTGGATGGGTAGGTGGGCGTGCGCATGTGTGTGTATGTGTGTGGCTGTTTTATTATCCATGCCTTTGTGTGTGTATCTGTGCGTGTGTGTGTGTGTGTGTGTGTGTGTGTGTGTGTGTGTGTGTGTGGTTGATTTTCAAAATATGCATATTGTTTTATGAACATGACATTCTTTATTGATAAATTGATAAAATACAGCTTCCTTGTGTGAAACATATGTGTTTGGAAGGGCCAGATGTGGAATGGGCTTGCTTGCCCAGTTTGTACCCCTATGAAAATATAAATTTTTACAGCATTCGTTCGTTCCTTCATTCGTTTGTTCGTTCGTTTTCTGATTAACGTACACCTTAGGGTTTTTTTTTTTTTTTTGACGTCCTCGTTTCCCCAATCCCTCTTTTTTTTTTTTTCACAGTTTAATGCTTGTTTGCTGATTCTCTGCTCGTCTCTTGTCAGAAAGGGTCCATTATAACGCAATCCTCTCTGTCTAATAACTTTTGATACAATTGGTTGCTCTAACCGTTCTCTTATTACTTCACTACTCTTGACTTGTATATTAATTGCTTTCAAATGATCTAACTTCCATATCTTTGGCGGTTAGCCCATTTTCACTGGCATATCACATAAAGTTGAACACATTGTTTTTTATAATTTATGTGTTTTTTTTTTTTTTTCAGGAAGGAAATATAACAAGTATTTCCGACAACAGTCTACCACCTGGACTCTCATCACTAAATCTTTACCATCTGCCACTCGCTAATATTTCTGACGACGCCTTCGACGCATCGGCGGCGACACTACAAGATATTTACATTTCACGAGCAAATTTATACAGTTTTCCCACAGCACTAAAGAAATTGACCAATTTGACACACCTGTCTTTTATTGATTCAGTGATACAAGACTGGGATACTGCCACACTTAACCAGAGTGCTGCTACACTTGAGAATCTTGCACTCATCAACGTGAGTTTACCTGCATGGCCAAGTTGGATATCTGACCTCTATTTGTTACGTCAAGTCGACTTAAGCTGGAACCCGCTCAGAAATATCCCTAACGATGCCTTTAGCTCCATCAACGACTCACTTACAGATCTTAACCTTAAAGGTACTGATTTGACCCACATACCAGGAGCATTGTCGACCCTTTTAAGTCTGCGTATCCTCGATTTGCAGAACAATAATTTTACAGATTTGTCTGAGTTTCAATATATAACAGGGTCACCATTTGCTCATAATCTTTCGGTCTTATACTTAGACTTCGATGGGCTGACCAGAGTAGCCAATTTCTCAAGTTTGGCAGCGCTAATAACACTCAGCTTATCTAGTAATAGAATATCATTTGTACCCGCTGGCTCACTGCCCACATCTCTAACAACATTATACCTTTCTAACAACAGTCTTGCATCGGTACCTGAAGATGTGGCCAGTATGTCTAAGCTTTCCAGTTTATACTTGTCTACAAATATAATAGGGGAAATTGAACAGAACGCCTTTCCATCAAGTCTGACAATTCTTAATCTTGCTAACAATAATCTAACGATCATTACAAACACAACTTTCAGAAATCTTAATTTAGTAACTTCTCTTAGCTTGACCTCAAATCCCATCTCCACCATCTCCAGTGCAGCATTCTCAGATCTGGTTTCATTGCAGTACCTTTACCTAATTGGTTCACAGCTGACCGAAATTCCTCTCGCTTTGGCATTACTAAACCCTCGTATAAATCTATACTTTACAACGACTGAGCAATTGTCTTGTCCATGTCCACCAAACCGGCAACTGTCTGAGTTCTTTACTTCAGTTGGATATCCTGCGATCTTCCCAGATGTCTGTGAGGACGGACAGTCTGTTACCTCATACCTAAGTGGTCAGTGCCAGTGACCATCAGATAGTTCATAACATGAAGTTACAGACATATTTAAAAAAACGAAGACAGAAGGTTTAGAAGAATTGAAAATATATATTAAACAAGGCATGTTTATCTCAGTTGTTATGTAATCCAATCAAAATAAAAATGTATTCATTCGTCTAAATACATCTTATATGTTATTGTGTGACATATTATTTCTTTGTGTGTACGAAATCGTTTAATTTATCGTTTGCTTTGTATGGGAAAATTTGATTGTGCTGAGAAGCCAGGTAGACATAGTTTCTGAGAAACACAATGCCATTTGAATGAGCATATGCACCTACTTGTGAGCTAACCGATAAAAACCATCAGGGGCAGGGTGGGGGAGAAACTCTGTAATTCTTTTTGATGACCAAAAGCCACTGTGGTGTAGCGGCTCTTTACATAATTCAGCTTCATTTATCAGCAAGACAAACGATAAAAACTGCATTTTGGAATAACGAATGCACAGATATCATTTCTAAAAAATTTAAATGAAAATTTAAAAAACATTAAAAAAAAGGGGGGGGGAAGAAGAAGAAGAAGAAGAAGAAGAAGAAGAAGAAGAAGAAGAAGAAGAAGAAGAAGAAGAAGAAGAAGAAGAAGAAGAAGAAGAAGAAGAAGAAGAAGAAGAAGAAGAAGAAGAAGAAGAAGAAGAAGAGAAGAAGAAGAAGAAGAAGAAGAAGAAGAAGAAGAAGAAGAAGAAGAAGAAGAAGAAGAAGAAGAAGAAGAAGAAGAAGAAGAAGAAGAAGAAGAAGAAGAAGAAGAAAGAAGAAGAAGAAGAAGAAGAAGAAGAAGAGAAGAAAAGAAGAAGAAGAAGAAGAAGAAGAAGAAGAAGAAGAAGAAGAAGAAAGAAGAAGAAGAAGAAGAAGAAGAAGAAGAAGAAGAAGAAGAAGAAGAAGAAGAAGAAGAAGAAGAAGAAGAAGAAGAGAAAGAAAGAAAGAAAAGAAAAAAATAAAGAAATAGAAAAAGAAGAAGAAGAAGAAGAAGAAGAAAGAAGAAGAAGAAGAAGAAGAAGAAGAAAGAAGAAGAAGAAGAAGAAGAAGAAGAAGAAGAAGAAGAAGAAGAAGAAGAAGAAGAAGAAGAAGAAGAAGAAGAAAAAGAAGAAGAAGAAAGGAAGAAAAAGAAGAAATAGAAGAAGAAGAAGAAGAAGAAGAAGAAGAAGAAGAAGAAGAAGAAGAAGAAGAAGAAGAAGAAGAAGAAGAAGAAGAAGAAGAAGAAGAAGAAGAAGAAGAAGAAGAAGAAGAAGAAGAAGAAGAAGAAGAAGAAAAAGAAGAAGAAGAAGAAGAAGAAGAAGAAGAAGAAGAAGAAGAAGAAGAAGAAGAAGAAGAGGAAGAAGAAGAAAGAAGCGTACCAAAAAAAGTTAAATCCTAATGCGAACAAGTTTATGTTAGATATAGATTGATGACAAGAAATCTGGAACCATTGATCAAAGCTTCTGAAGATAAATAATCAATAAAGAATGAAAAGCAGTTGGCTACACTTATTAGAAGTAGAATGTTACAAATAGGTTAAAATATGAGAGCAAAAGGGTAGTGTTACATTACAACTACAATTATAAACTACAGGAGGGGTGGGGGGGGGGGTGGGGGGGGGGGGGTTGTCCTGTATTCAATCCACATCAAAAGCTAGCAAGAAAGTCAGACTATTTTAAAGAGCTAATCATTGATACACAGCAAACAAGTAGACATCACCTTGTTTGTGTCTAAAGGCAAGGACCAAAATGAACCAAACTTGTTCACATGAAAAGTAAAAGCTCTTATACAGTAGAGTCATACAAACAAAGCCCTTGCTTTAGATGGAAAAAACTACACAAGCTGTTCGAGCATGTGGTCAAACTGGCATCAAATGGCTTGCAAGAATTATCAGTACAACATGAGAAGAAAGAAAAGCAGTTCCACACGACTGGCAGCAGGCATTGGTGGTAAAAGTTAGCGAAAAGAGAGGTAATACAAGAGACAGTGATTCGTACAGAGTTATTTTACCCTTGGGCCACAGAGGAACAATGTATGCATAGTTATCAAACAGAGTTATAGCGAAACAGCACTAGGAGAGGTAAGGAGGGTAGGGGCTGAGTGGGGGTATTGAAGGGATTGTAAGCGCACGTAAAAAAAAATCCTTTGGCATTTGGATTTCGAAAAGACCAGCATAACGGAGCTGCCCGGGCAAAATCTGGAGTTAAAAGTCTACTAAAATGTTGTTGTTTGAGTATCCTTGCCGGTGCTACGGAGTTTCTGCACTGCACTGAAATTCTTTGGACTCAGGATTAAGTTAGTAGTAAAACGGAGCACTTATAGCTTACTAGCCTTGCGCCATTATATATATCTGTTGTTTGAAACCTAAAAAAAAAAGAGAGGGGGGGGGGGGGGGCAATAGTCTTTACTGCAGCAAAATCGATTTGATTTATATGCGTGTAAATCTCATTTGTACAGATCGCAGTAAATTTTATCTGACATACATGCAGTGGTTTGCTACCGTCTTATGAGCGATTTAGCTTGAGCTTTGCAGTACTGTGTGTTCGTTGGTAATTGAATTCACAGGTATGAGACAATAGGTAGACTGAATTAATTTAAGAAAACGATTTTGTTAGAAATGTATACTAGATAAGATCAGACACACACACACACACACACACACACACACACACACACACACACACACACATCAACATCATCATCAAGTGCCTTGCTACCTGGCGTATGCATTGTTGCGACGCCAGAGATCTCGGTCTTTGGTGTTCTAGATAAATTCTACTGATGATATTCCTCTATGCCACTGTCTTACGCCATCCACCATCGTTTCTCTGCCTATTCTACCAGTGATCTTTTCTGTCGGCGCCACATTTTCTAGCCCTTCTTTCCTCATCACTTGACCAAAGAACTTAGTTTGTCTACTTTTCATTGTTTTATATAATGTCCTACTTTCATCCGCCATGTCAGGCATTCAGTGTTGGTTATTCTGGGAGCCCAAGGTATTTCAAAAAAATATTCAAAACCATAGCTCAATTGCCTCCAAACTCTTCTTAATTTGGTTGCTAACATTCCAAAATTCACTACCATACAACAGAACAGGCCCGTATAACATTTCAATACTCGTTTTCTGATATTTAGTGACAGTGACTTATTACATAAAATACTTTTCATTGTTTGAAATGCTGCCTTTGTCTGGCCAATTCTTCTAATTTCTGTCACTCATCTTCTATCTGATGGTATGAATGCTCCCAAATATTTGAAATTATTTACTACGTTAGGCACTTTCCCTTCTATTGCTATGTAACATTTTGGAGTTCTTCTTCTTTGATATAACCATTGCTTCTGTTTTCTTTATATTCAAGGAGAATCCCTTTTTTGCTTCTAGACACACACACATTTACAAATAACAACAGTAATATGTATTAAATGAAAGTGAAAGTAAGATTCTACATTTCCTATGAATGTTTTTTCTACACACCTGATCATATAAATTTGCAGCTACATGGTGATGAAATCTGAGAAATATTCACATTGTGTTGTTTATTGGGGTCATGTGTGTCCTGCAGACGATGACCCAAGACTGTCCCTACACTCACCCCGTAAGTCAGATATCTTTTTAGTATGGCCATTATTTTTTTTTTTTTTTTTAAAGAAAATCTAGTGTGTGTTTTTTTTTAATAAAAAAACTGGACAAAATTTTGCATAGACTGAATTGTTGTGTGTTGTGATATATTTAAAAAAAAAACGCATTCGCTCCATCTATGCTAGACTCTGTGAGGGACTGGTTACTGGCGGTTGATCTGCCGGGCCATGAAAGGTACCCTGAGTTAATCCGGAAGACCGGCCTGCCACCTGACATAGTTCTCCACTCTGCGGAGAAACGGCAGCTCATCCTGTTTGAGCTGACCGTCCCGTATGAGTCGCGTAAGGACGAAAATCACACGTATAAGCTCGAGAAATACTGTGATTTAGCAGCCGGTCTGGGGAGAGACGAGGCGTACACAGCACGTGTCTTTGGCGTCGAAGTGGTAGCGAGAGGTCTCGTTTCCACTTCACTCTACAATGTGGTTAAAGAACTAGGATTGCGCTGTAATGAACGGAAACGGACACTTAAAAGGCTGGGCGAGGTTGCTAAGAGGGCCTCGAGCTGGCTTTGGACGCAACGACACAAAGTAGGGGACGGGCCTCGGTGAGCTGGTCCGGGTGTCTAGGGGAAAAGGGTTTCTCATCCTTTGAAAGTCCATCGTGTCCGAATAGTCTGCCAGTGTTTCTCTGCAAGCTGCTAACAAAGTCCAACATGTGTCCGGTATACCAATCGTAAGCTTGTCGCTCGGTCGTCCAGGTATGCAGACTGCTCTAATTATGCTACCGCGACGACTTCTTATCTCACAGTACCTTCTGCAAATCACCAAGTCGTCTTGTCCCTATCCGGAAAGAAAGCACCATCCGGTAATTTCGTGCAGCAGGGAAACCAACCCTGAGCTTCATGAACTCAGGTGGGCCCACTCTCTGAAAACGTCAAGGAGCTCGTGGGCCGAAACATTCGTCGACGAGGGATAACTTCTACTGATGACTGGTAGATCCCTGCTGTACTTGCTCCCCTGTGGAGTTCATTCCGAAAAACACAAATTGCGTTCTGATTTACAGTTTACATTCTGATCTATAGTAGTCATTTGTTTTTAATAATTATTTTTCTCGTTTCCTCCACATCGTCCTCATCGTCCTCATCTTCCTTCTCCTTCTTCTTCTTTTTCATTGGTCTTCTTCTTCTACTAACTAACAGTGTGAGTTTTGTCGTCTCCTTGGTGTAATGTAAGCGCACAGACAATTTCAGCAATTAATAAATTGTACGGGAAAGCAAGAATGCAATTTTTTTGTTTTATCTAGTGAACTCAACGAGCCGGTCAATGGAACGAACTCACAGCCTTTAAATTGCGAGGCAAATAGTCTGACCACCGTCCTTGTCAGCTAAACGAAAGGTTGGTGTCTCATCTCTACCAATGTCGAGTATGATACTGTGT